CAAACCTCATGGTCAGTGATATGCCAGGGGAGGAAAAGTCACTCTGGGGATGCGCTCCACACTACAATTGATTATCCATTGCTAGGCACCTGGGGCTTTCCACCCTGATGGCCTTCTGCACCTGGCCCATTGTCCTTGCTCTGTTCATGTCTGCCCAACTGCCTACAATGTCCCTCCCTCGAGGATCTTGGCTCTGGAATCTTTCAGAGAAAAGGGGCACAGGGTCTCTACTGTGGCTGCTTCCTGCTGAAAAGGGTGATGTTTTTCTTCAGAGACGAAACATCCTTGCTTTCTGTCAGAGGGACAATGAGGCCTGGGCACAGAAGGAGGTGGTGATGATGGTGTCTGGAGGTGGTATTCCCTGAGTGCAAGTAGGGCTTGTAACCAGTGATAAAACAATCTGAGTCGTGGCACCAAATATGCTGTAGGCAGCAAGAATGACACCAGGTGTTAGACCAGTGGGGTCAGACCAAACCTGGGTCCAGCAACCTTGGTACTTAGGTTCTGGCTGGGAAAGAATCCAGAGCAAGACCCAAACTGTAAGAGAACATTTATTGGGTAAATCACAGAGATAGAAGTAATTCCTAGAAGAAATGGGCTTGGGAAACAAGCTCTGGGGGTAAAGGAAGGGCCCTTGGAGCTTGGGAGTGAGGAAGCTAATGGTAAGATGCCTGGGGTGGGAGGAGGGCGAGGAGACGGAAGAGAAAGGCGTGTTTCCAGGAGGGAGAGTGCCTGAAGGTTGATGATTTTTGTTGTTGTTGTTATTTATCTGCTTATTTATTCATTAAGGACTTCCCTTACTTCTAAGCTCAGTATGTTTACTCTCATTTACTTAACATTTGTGTGTTTCAGAATATCCATTCTTGCTAAGCTGCTGGAAATAAAAATGTCAAGAGTTCGTTTTTAATTTACATTCTGTATCAGGATTACTTGCGGATTTACAAATAATCCTCTGACAAACATTTGTGGTTAATTTTTAAACAATTTTTCAAAATCAGAGTAAGGCAGGCACACTGTCCAGGCAGCTATCCGGCTCAGCAATATTGCAACAGGCAGCTACCATCCACAGAGGCAGCTACTGGGCCAGACCCTATCCCCAGAGGCAGACACTCTCTGGAGAGGCCACTATCATGGTGACCGGCAGCTGCTTGCTGAGGCACTCCAGGGAGAGGAGAGGCAGCTACAGGGGCCCAACTATGGCGGGACAATAATAAGGGGGGAAATACAATATGGGCTCGAATGGAAAGAGCCTAATGGGTTGTGTGTGTGTGTGTGTGTGTGTTTAACAGGAAAAAAAAATAAAGGATTAAGTTTTACAAATTACAAATCTGTTCCAATATATGCTCACCGTAAAATAAAGTACGCATTTCAGTAAGAGATCTATAGTGAATGACTGCAATCTGAGGCAGGGCCCAGGTTTGTGGGAGGAGCTAAGAGACTGTGCATCCAATCACAGCTTGCAACAGGCTCTGAGGACCACCTGCCAGCTCCCCGAAGGTCATGGGCTTTGCAGAGCAGGGAAGGGCTTTAGGAGAAGGGAGGAAGCAGGCTCCTTCTGAGTTCATTACAACTTCTCAGGCATCTCCGCCTACCCAGTACAGGTTCACAAAAATAAACATGCTAAGGTAAGCAGGGGCTCTGAGGACCACCTGCCAGCTCCCCGCAGGTCATGGGCTTTGCAGAGCAGGGAAGGGCTTTGGGAGAAGAGAGGAAGCAGGCTCCTTCTGAGTTCATTACAACTTCCAGGCATCTCCTCCACCTACCCTGTACAGGTTCACAAAAATAAACATGCTAAGGTAAGCAGACAACTCTTTAGAGCCCAAACACATTTTCTTTTCTCTTTTTAAAATATGTTTCTATTGATTTCAGAGAGAGGAAGAGAGAGGGATACAAACATTAATGATGAAAGAGAATCATTGATCGGCTGCCTCCTGCACGCCCCCTACTGGGGATCGAGCCCGCAACCGGGGCATGTGCCCTGACCATGAATCAAACCGTGACCTCCTGGTTCATAGGTCGATGCTCAACCACTGAGCCATGCTAACCAGCCAAACACATGTCCTTGCTGCATTTATGTGGGACTCTCCGTGGACCATGGGCAGTCGTGAAGAAGTTCCTCCACGGGACAGGTCACTGGACCGCAGAGCCTGGGTCTGAGGGAGTGAGGACTGGGGCGGAGGCCCAGGCGCTGGAGAGGACCCTCGGGCACAGTCCCGGAGGCAGGCTCCCCGCCTGTCACCTGCGTACCGCCTAGTGTGGTCTCCCCCGGATTCAGGAAGTCCTCCTGGTCCCTAGGCGATGCTCTGCAGCCTCAATATCCAGGGGATCATTGAAGTTCAGATCAGTGCACACAGAGTTTAATCCCAAAACAACACCCTTCACTGTCCTCGTGGATCCAATGTTTTAAAATCCTGATTTCTGGGCCTCATCCTCCCGATATCCAGGGGGTCATCGAAGTTCAGATCAGTGCACACAGAGTTTAATCCCCAAACAACACCCTTCACTGTCCTCGTGGATCCAATGTTCTCAGTAAACTCCCACGTATCTCGCCGTCTGGGCGATGTTGGGGTGCGAGGCCCTGGTCAAGCGTCTCACCTTGGGAGGCACCGTGCTGTATGCATCAGGAACTTCCGTTTCAACCTGAAATTGTCCTCCCTGATAGTAAGCCTCATCTAGGGTGACAGGTTGGCTGAAAGCACTGAGCTTGTTTGGATCAGGAAAGTGCACTGTTTCACATGTACAAGGTGTGAGAAATGCTCACCTGTCCGTGTGCAAATAATGTGCTTGGAGACAGAAGTATGGCGAAAGGGGACTTTTCTTACAGTCTGGAGAGCAGGTGTCCCTCGGGTGGTACAGTCACACCTGGGCCAGCGATCACAGCCCATTTAGCCAGTCCCTCCTCCGGCTCCTCACTGGCTGAGTACTATGGGCTCACCTGTTTCCTCACGCATCTCCTAGGTCAGTGGTTCTCAACCTTGGCTGCACATCGGAGACCGAGGCTGTGGCTGATGTCCGGGACCCTCTAAGACCGTCATCCGCTGCAGGTGGCTCGCCAGCGTCAGCATTACTGCCACCTCCACCCCGGGCACCCCAGGCCGGGAGGTGGGCCGGCGCCCAGCACATGCGGAGGCCAGACAGGCCCCTCACAGCTGCACGGGCTCCAGGCAGCCTAGCCTAATGGGTTTTTAATTTTTAATTTTGTCTGTTGGCTTGTTTTGTTCATTGCCCATTGGGGCCATTTAAAAAAATTGGGTTGAGGCCTTTTCTAGTTGCCTCCACCTCCCTCTGTCTGGCTGAGGCAGGCGCTGGGGGGTTTCCACCCTGATGCTGGCCCACTGCACCGTTGCTCTTACATTCTCTTCCCTCCTCCCTACATTCTGTTTGCCCTGGGGAAATTCACCAACCGTCTCCGTCAAAAGCCGGCCCTGCTGGAGAAGGATCACCGAGGCCCGTTTCCTACACAAGGCAAGTTAGCTTCAAGTTCTGCAGCCTCTTTAAGGAGCCGCCTGTCTCTCACAGACACCCTCGGCGGAGACCGAGGCTGTGGCTGATGTCCGGGACCCTCTAAGACCGTCATCCGCTGCAGGTGGCTCGCCAGCGTCAGCATTACTGCCACCTCCACCCCGGGCACCCCAGGCCGGGAGGTGGGCCGGCGCCCAGCACATGCGGAGGCCAGACAGGCCCCTCACAGCTGCACGGGCTCCAGGCAGCCTAGCCTAATGGGTTTTTAATTTTTAATTTTGTCTGTTGGCTTGTTTTGTTCATTAGATTCCACATGAGTGGGGCTGGGTGGTGCTTGTCTTTCTCTGGCTGCTTATTGCACCTGGTGTGATGCTCTCCAGGTCCATCCATGCTGTTGTAGTGGGACTTATTTCAAACAGGGATGTGTTGCTCTCATTTGCTTTTGCAATTACTTCAGTCTTAGGGACAATTTGGCTGTTTTTCCTTGAAAGCGGATGTTCTGAAACATAAATTTGAGCATCTACAACAAGCAACACACCACTCCTCAAAAAATTAAAAATGGACCTGCCTTATGACCCAGCCATTCCGCTTCTGGGAATATACCGAAAGAAACCCGAAACACTCATTTGAAAGAATAAATGCACCCCTATGTTCATTACAGCATTATTTACAATAGCCAACCATTCCCATCAAAAGCCAGCCCTGCTGGAGAAGGATCACCGAGGCCCGTTTCCTACACAAGGCAAGTTAGCTTCAAGTTCTGCAGCCTCTTTAAGGAGCCGCCTGTCTCTCACAGACACCCTCGGTGGAGACGGAGGCTGTGGCTGACGTCCGGGACCCTCTGAGACCGTCATCCGCTGCAGGTGGCTCGCCAGCGTCATCATTACTGCCACCTCCACCCTGGGCACCCCAAGCCAGGAGGCGGGCCGGCGCCCAGCACATGCGGAGGCGAGACAGGCCCCTCACAGCTGCACGGGCTCCAGGCGGCCTAGCCTAATGGGTTTTTAATTTTTAATTTTGTCTGTTGGCTTGTTTTGTTCATTAGATTCCACATGAGTGGGGCTGGGTGGTGCTTGTCTTTCTCTGGCTGCTTATTGCACCTGGTGTGATGCTCTCCAGGTCCATCCATGCTGTTGTAGTGGGACTTATTTCAAACAGGGATGTGTTGCTCTCATTTGCTTTTGCAATTACTTCCGTCTTAGGGACAATTCGGCTGTTTTTCCTTGAAAGCGGATGTTCTGAAACATAAATTTGAGCATCTACAGCAAGCAACACATGACCCCTCAAAAAATTAAAAATGGACCTGCCTTATGACCCAGCCATTCCGCTTTTTGGAATATACCAAAAGAAACCCGAAACACTCGTTTGAAGGAATACATGCACCCCTATGTTCATTACAGCATTATTTACAATAGCCGAGATTTGGAAGCAGCCCAAGTGCCCATCAGTAGGAGAGTGGATAACAACGCTGTGGTAAACTTAGACAATGGAATACTACTCGGCTGTAGAAAAGAAGGAAATCTTACCTTTGCAACAGCATGGATAGACCTGGAAAGTGTTACGGTAAGTGAAATGAGCCACGCAAAGACAAGCGCCATATGATTTCACGTATATGTGGAATCTAATGATCAAAATAAACTAACAAAGTGGAGACAGATTTATAGATACAGAAAAGAGGTCGACAGCTGTCAGGGGGAAGGGGAGAGGAAGCTGGGTGGAAAAGGTGAAGGGATTAAGGAAAAAAACCTAACAGACAACAGTATGGGGATACCAGAGGGAAAGGGGGTAGAGGAAGGTAGGAGAGGGGAAAGGGAGAATAATTGGTGATGGAAGGAAACTTGACTTGGGGTGGTGAACACACAGTACAATATACTGATGATGTATATAGAATTGTACCCCTGAAACCTATATAATGTTATTAACCAGTGTTGCCCCAATAAAGTCAATAAAATTAAATTTTAAAAAGAGTTTTACACAGTGCCTGGCACGGAGTAGACATCCCATACACAGCACCTGCATGTGCTATGCTGTCGGCCCCAACATTTTGCATGCAGAGCTGTACGGGAAGGTAGTGTTTTCTGGGTGCAGACACCCTCCAATGAGAGGCCACAAGGTAGGCTCCTAACCCCTGCAACCCGGTTATGTCCCAGTAACCTGCCTCCACCTGCTGACTCCCCAAGTAGAAAGCCATGGACTGAGTCCTCACCCCCATGTCCCGCCCCCTTCCTGGTGATCCTCTTCCCACCACCAGTGGGGGCCTATGTTCACCCACACCATTAGGCAGCTTCCTGTGGGCTGCAGCCTGTGCAGAGTTCTCTGTTACGTGGGTTCCCAACTCCAGAGTCCATGACCCTCCTCTGCCTCTCAAGGACGGTCCTGGAAACTTGGCCGCGAAGATATGGGACCAAGCCACACCCCCGCTTTATTGAAGGCAATTCAGGCCCTGCTATGCTGTAGTGGGCAAGGCACTTTCCCCTGTTAAGCACTAGAGGGAGCTCTGTGCATGTGTATAGGAAGGCTGAGCCCATACATTTGAGTGACTCACCTGAAATCACTCAAGTATTGAGACACAGGCAAAGACATATGCATGCGCATACCTGCATTCAGATGGTACATGGACAAGCACCCACCCATTATCACGTACCTAACACACACTTCCATAGCTTAGATAGATATACATATACCCATCAGCACAAGTGTACACAAACATACTCATGAGCAGTCACATGTCCATAAAAACTCACACAGACACAAGTGAACACATCTACAGACACAAAAGATACATTCAGATACACACATATAGATCCACATGGATCCACTGACAACAGACATAGGGATGGACAAACACCTGGCCAAGACACAGGCAGCAGACAGCCGGCAGATGCCTTCACACCCAGGGCCTCACACTGGGCTGGGATCACATTTACATGTTACAGATGTGGAGCAGAGGCTGAGAGAGTCCCAGTGTTTTACCCACCGTCACACAGTGACAGATGGTAGAGTTAAGAATAGGTTCTAAGTAAGTCCTCCAGCAAGGAGAAGCATTATTTCAAAAAAGAGGTAAGTTGCTCTCCTATTTGTTTTTGCAATTATTTCCATTTTAGGACCAATTCAGCTGTTTTTCCTTGAAAGCCATTGTTCTGAAAGTTCTACCTTTATATACACGGGTCATTGAACCGATAGTATTTCACGAACTGGAAGTAGTTCCTTGCTCATTTTACTCTGACCAGGGATATTGACCTCAGTCCTCAAACCCTTCTGTCATTGCAACAGCCTCACAACATCCAGGATGAGGGAGTGTAGCCATGGGAACACTGTTGCTGTCTTGCTCACGAGTTGGAAAAGCCAGGAAGGAGGAGGAAAATGATCTTCGACTCAGTTCTGCCTTTCAAATCTAACACAAGTACATCTAACTCACATCCAGAATGCCAGCCGCATCATCATTTAGAGAATGTAGATATTAGCCTCCACTATCCAGCTAGAAGGAGGGTGGAATAACTTTTAAATAAGTTGCTCCGTAGCATCTACCATAGCAACTTACTCAAGGTGACACGGCTAGTAACTGGTGGAGCCAGGATTCCAAGCCAGTGTGGACTCTGAGCCCTTTTCTTACTCAGTCATCTTATATGGCCTCAAACACACGATGTTATAAGATGATCAAATGAATGATGAGGGTTTGTTTTTATTGTTTGTTTTTCAACAGGTGGAAATGAGGAATGTCTTAACTGGCTGCTCCAGAAAGCAGAGCCTGAGGCAGGAAGTCCCTGTGCACTATTTATTACTTTATTAGGGAGCAGAAGTGAGGGACAAGAGCAGGGAAGCAGAGAAGGAAGGAGAGCCAGGACAAGGATGTTTCTGAGCCGGCCATTGCTAGATGCATCTCATTGCTGGGTCTGAGGAACAAAATGCATCTTAGGTCGGTAGTTATCTTGTGGAATTGGAAAGGTGGTTCTGGTCCCCCATTTATCAAAGGTTCACCCCCAGGATGTGAATGAACCCCACCACCACTCCCCAGTTGCACGTCTCTAGGGGACTGCAGTGACTGACACGGGTGGTTAGGTTTTATTTTAATGGGCCTTGAATGGTGGCTCATGGATTTTGGGCTTGATTCTGTAAGCACTGCAGAAATACTGGGATTTTAAAAATATATATATATTTGTATTGATTTCAGAAAGGAAGGGGGGGAGAGAGAGAGATGGAAACATCAATGATGACAGAGAATCATTGATCAGCACGCCCCCCACCCCCCATTGGAGATGAAGCTCGCAACCAGGGCATGTGCCCTGACCGGGAATTGAACTGTGACCTCCAGTTCAGAAATCAACACAACCACTGAGCTCAACCACTGAGCCATGCCAGTCGGGCAATACAGGGATATTTTGCAAAGGAAAGTGGCATAGTTGAAGGGAGCCTTTCCTAGTTGCATTATTTACTCATAAAATCTTCACCACCTGCTAAAGCAAAATATTTGTGGAGGTTCCCAAGCCACGAGGGACAAATAATAGTAGCCGTACAAATCTATGTCTCATATGCACTGTGTTTTAGTTTCTAAAGTGCTTTCCTATCCATGACTTCTCAGCCTCTCTGCAGAAGAGGCAGCCTCACGCAGGACCCATGGAAGACAGTGAGATTAGAGTGACAGAATCTGAACTTGCCCAATGCATGAGACTGAACTGGGAAGTTTCATTTGAATTGAGATAGCTCTCATTTCTCGAGGTGGGGAGGGATGCCTTATTGCTTCCAGGGGGAAAAAAATAACACAAACAAAAACACTTTGGTCCCCTTCAGGACCTGGGGATTATGTGTTTGGAGGTGCTGCTTTCCCTTCTGCTATGTTATCTGCACAGGTCTCTGGGCTAGGGATCAGCCTGGCATTGCCAAGGCAGATGGCTGAGGCATTTGCTGCCAGCAGCATCCAGTGGCATAGGGCAGACTTTGTTCCTTGCCTGCTGGTCTCTTACCTTCAGTATAGAACATAATCCAGTTAGATAAAACCCAGTCTTTCATTTGTATAGCAGTGTATAATATGAACCATGTGTCCAAACATTTAGATGTGTAATCTCCTCAACTTTCTAGAGCATTCTGATTTCTTATCCTTATATTTCTCTTTGCTTTCAACCAGAGCAAACTGTTTAACCTCTCTTAATGAAAAATAAAACCTGTAAAATTCAACAGTCTTAACAAATATCAGTCTTTACCTTACACTGTTGGGTGATTTAATGAGATAATGTGTAAAAGTGCTTAGCATAATTCCTGGCACAAAGAAGATCTTCAAAAAATATCAGCTACTATTTTCATTATCATCATTGTTGTTGTAGTATCATCATCCATTATGAACCTTCTAGAACTAATCCTAAAGCGTTATGAGATCATGTAAAGTGTTTAGCTCAATATTTAGTACAAAGTGGTTATCTTAATCCACTTCAGCTGCTAAAACAAATTCCATAAACTGTCCAGTTCATAAACAACAAACATTTATTTCTCACAGTTCTGGAAGCTGAAAGTCCAAGATCACATGTAAACTGGTATGCTAATTTATTAACTTCCAACAAGAAATATGTTCCATGAGTGGCTTAACTAAATTGTAGGAATTCTGGTGGGGGCTACAGGTCCTACATCTACTCCCACTAGTCATTGTGGAGGGCGTGTTAACCAAATTAAGCTAATAGCATCTAGTGTAGGCAGAATAACGCCCCCCCCCCCCAGGATGTCCTAATCCCAAGAACCTGAGAATAAATTACATTACATGACAAAATGAAAACTAAGGCAACATCTAAAATTAAGGTTGCTAATTAGCCAACCTAAAAAGTAGAAAGATTACCCTGGATTATCAAGGTAGGCCTAAAGTAAACACAACGTTACAGAACTCAGTTCTCCAAGAAGTAGTAGGCAAGGATCGATCCAGACTAGCAATCAAACTTCTGATATTAAATTAGTATTGAAGTGGGTCTGTTTAATCCACTCCCTCCTCCTCACCTCCCCCCCACCCCCAGCCCCCAGCCATTAAGATCTTGTTGGGAAACGCAGGAACTAGGCTCAGAGCCCCTCCTCAGTGAGAGGAGGGCTGCAGAGGCAGAAGCTTGGTCTCAGAGAAGGATGTCTTTTACCACCCACCTCGCCTTTCTCTGCAGGGAAAATACTTGTCCAGTGGATTTTTTCCCCTTCACTTCATTTCTTGTGAAATCATTTATGCAATCTTGCTGTGTTCAGAATATGTAAAAAATAAGCAAAGAACATCAAAAGACAGTTCACAGAAAGAAAATGCAAATGTCATTTAAACTTATGGGAAAAATGCTTACGATAGCTAGAATTCTAAAATGACTCCAGATTCCTGCCCTTTGGTGTGCACAACCTGAATAAACCCCTCCTGTTGAGTGTGAGTGGGCACTGTGAATTCCATGGCATAGTCACTCCTTAAGTAGGTTGCATTACAAAGCGAAGATAAAGGGGGTAATCACTCCCTTGATGGCATTATGTTATGCATGACTCTATCTTAGCAGACTGCAGTGAGAGATCCTCCTGCCAACTTCAAAGAAGTAAGCTGCCATGTCACGGCCCACCTGACAGGGGCATGGAATGGCAAGGGATTCTACAACCCGAGGGGGGCTCCCAGCTGACAGGCAGCAAGAAAAATGGTGACCTCAGTCCTCCAACTGCAAGGAACCAATTTTGCAACCAAAGCAAACCCTTCCCAGTTGAACTTCCAGATGAAAACATAGCTCAGTAGACACCTCAATTCAGCCTAGTGAGACTCTGAACTTATGACCCATGGAAATGGAGATCATAAATGGTATATGTTGTTAAAATCACTAAATTTGTGGTAATTTGTTATAACAACAATAGGAGTTAATAAAATGTTCATCCTCACACATAGACCTCTTTCATGGCATTACTTATTCACCTGTCATCTTGGTAAAGAGGAAAAAAAATGACAATATGCTATGTGGGCAACAGTATAGAAAACTAATAGTGGCAGTTAAATTAGTATAATTTTTGTAGAGGGTGATTTAAAAATATCTAGCACTATTTAAAAACACACCCCTCTCATCCACCAAGTCTACTTGTGATTTTTAATAGAATATGTTCACAAACATGGGAAAAGGTCAAGATACAAGCTTCTTTACTACAGTGCACCTTGTAACAAGAAAAGATTAGAATCATCCTATGTGTTCATCAATAGGCACCATGTTCGATAATTTCAGGTATATTCATAAAATGAAATATTTTTTAAATTTATTTTTTAGAAAGAAAGGAAGAGAGAAATATCGATGATCAGCTGCCTCCTGCATGCCCCCCCTACTGGGGATCAAGCCTGCATCCCGGGCATGTGCCCTGACTGGAAATTAAACCAGCAACCTCTTGGTGCATGGGACTATGCTCAACCAACTGAGTCACACCTGCCAGTCTATAAAATGGAATAATTTGGAACCATTAAAAAATAATGTTGAGGGCATGTGCTGGGGGGTGGGGGGAGTGGCTGGGGAGAGGCCAATGGGGTAAAAGGAGACATATGTAATACTTTAATCAATAATAATAAAAACAAGAATAATGAGCCTGGCCATGATGGCTCGGTGGTTGGGCATCAATCTATAAACCAGGAGAACCAGGAGGTCAGGGATCAAACCAGGATGGGTTGTTACCCTCAGAACTCCCCCCTTTCACCTCAAATCAAGAGGGATTTGAGCCCTAGCCAAATCTCTCTTGGCTCAGTGGATAGAGTATTGGTCTGTGGACTGAAGGGCCCGGGTTCAATTCCTGTCAAGGACACGTACATTGGTTGCAGGTATGGGAGGCAACCAATTGATGTGTCTCTCTCACATCAATGTTTCTCTCTCTGTGTCTCTCCCCGTCCCTTCCACTCTATCTAAAAATCAATGGAAAAAATATCCTCAGGTGAGGATATTAAAAAAAGGGATTTGAAAGAAGATTGATGTCATTTAGGATACTTTGGTGATTTAATATCTGCCTTGGAAAATATAGAGTAGACATTAATAGAATGATGGAGGAGTGGCTGCATTGGGTGGCATGCCCTACAAGAAGACATTTGGACAAAGAAGATGAAATTATTTACCATAAAGGGATTGGCAAGAGCAAAAAGACATTAATCCAGGTCAAGTGAACTGCTGGTGAGAAATCCCAGGAGATGGGGTTGAGAAGGGCCTGTGAAGATCCCAGGAAAAAGACCATGAGAAAAAGAATCAGCTTTAAACTTGGGCCAAAACCAGGGGAAACTAACATTAGAATCTAGACCTCTCCTCTCTCTGTCTCGCCTGACCACATCCTTTTCCCTCAACAGGAAGAACTTTTTAAATGTAATCAGAATTGAAGTTTTGACTATTCATGCATATGGGCATTTCAATTACTGACCAAAGGACATTTTATAACCTGAGTATGAGCTGAGAAGTTCTGGGGCTTGCCCTAAATTTCATTCAGTGAATAAACTGCTCCCAATGAGTAAATTCCAACTAACAATGGGAAACAAAAATAAATTTGTTCTCTGATTTTACCCCAAGAAGGTTGTAAAAATTACAGAGAAAAGGTAATTTCTAAAGGGGCAAGAGGCAAGTAAAAGGCTATTTCTATATAATAAACCCCAGAATGTCACATTCATAATTCATAAAAATTGCATAATAAACATTAAGAAGTCCCTGAATACTCTGACAAGTGCTAGCAACATAAAGATTTAAAAAAAAAAAATACTGCCCTCTGCCCAGCCAGTGTGGCTCAGTGGTTGAGCATTGACCTATGAACCAGGTCACGGTTCGATTCCTGGTCAGGGCACATGCCCAGGTTGTGGGCTCAATCCCCAGTGGCGGGTGAGTAGGATAGGAGACAGCCGATCAATGATTCTCTCTCATCATTGATGTTTCTCTCTCTCTCCCTCTCCATTCCTCTCTGAAATCAATAAAAATATATGTTAAAAAAATACTGCCCTCAAGAACCTTAAAAGGAGAAAGGGAGATATCTGAATATCATAATTTCTTTCGAGCAGTGGCTTTGAGGCAGTTGGTTTGATCTTGTCATCCCACATGTTTAAAGCTGCTCATCAGTGAACACTGTTCCCCAACCCCCACCCCTGCTTCTCAGGAGGGCAAGTCTGTGTAGTGGTGTGAGGAGATTTGTTTACATTTAACTCTCTCAATGCATGGCCAGAAAACCAAGCCAGGAAAGCATGCCCTTGAGCACCACAATAATTGGTGAGGAGTTTAGCATTTTGCCAAGACCTACAAGAGCAAAACAAGAACGCCAGAGCACAAGACATTACATTTCAAGCCAGTGGGGACTGGCTTGGAAAATATTAAAGAACGCACATTACACATAAAACAAAATCTATGGCCTCAGCAGATCATCAAGCCAACAGCAATGTTTCCTGATCAATTAAAGAGGATGCTTCTGGCTCTTTCTCTTACAATCCCAGGTGCTTTGAGAGCTGCGGGCTTCGCTGCAGATATGGCCAAATCCAAGAACCACACCACACATAACCAGCATCAAGAAACCCCCATCACAAAGATACGAATCTCTTAAGGGGGTAGACCCCAAGTTCCCGAGGGACACGTGCTTTGCCAAGAAGCACAATGGGAAGGGCCCTCGTGAAGCCCAAGGAGGTCAAGACCAAGATCCCAAAGGATGGAAACCGCAAGCTCTGTCGACTTGCCTACTTCGCTCACCCAAGCTTGGAAAACGTGCTTGTGCCCACATCGCCAGGGATCTCAGGGTCTGCCGGCCAAAGTCCAAGGCCAAGGCTCATACCGAGCTCCAGGCTGCATCTGTGACTGTGGCTGCAGCTCAGGCACAGGCTCAGGCTCAGGCTCCCGAAGGTGCTGTGTGCCTATGAAGGCTCCATGTAGAGGTCTCTGTCTGCCAATGTGAGACTCGAAGGACTGGTGTGACTCCTGCGCTGCTGTGTACCTGGAGCTGGTGCCCTCCTGTGCTATTTGTACAAATTAACAGGAGGCAGGATCTGTATTAAAAAAAAAAAAAAGGATGATTCTGGAACAGATTGTTATGCTGATGAAACAGTTTTCTTCTTGAATTTTTTATTTATTGTGACTTTAAAAAAAAAAAACTTTTTTAGCCCTGGCCTGTATGGTTCAATGGACAGAGCATCGGCCCAAATAGTCCCATGTTTGATTCCAGTCAAAGGCATGTACCTCGGTTACAGTCCCGATCCCGGCCTGTTCAGGGCAGGTGCAGGAGGCAACCAATCGATGTGTCTCTCTCACATTGATGTTTCTCTCTCTGTGTCTCTCCCCCTCCTTTCCACTGTCTCTAAACATTGATGGAAAAATATCTTCCAGTGAGGATGAACAAAACAACATTTTTTAAATTGAAATATAATTGACATTTAAAAACTATTTTAATGCTATTTTAGTTGTTTCCCCCTAACCCTCTATTTTCTAAATTTTTATTCTTGTCAGATAAAAATTTACTGGGGACTCTTCTTCTTAGAAATACAAGGTCAATACTGGTTAAGAAATGGTAGCTTCTTGTATACTCACAACCACAATTTTTTAAAATTTTATTGACAATTATATTTTCACGCTCTTAATAAAGAGCCCAGAAAAAAAATTCCTATAGCCAGAACTACCTCAATAATTTAAGACAGAATTTTGAGCGTTCAAATTTATTGTTTTCTTCCTTTTTAAAAATACAAATCATCAGAAACTACTTCATCCTATAATGATTCTTGTTTGCATTTGAGTCAAATACTGTGAATCAAGTGATACCTCTAAGTACTTGCAATAACCAGAATTCTTCCTAATTGAGGAGACTCTATTTTCTGACACTGACCAATAACATGTCCAAACATAGGCCAAGATAAGTCCTATTGTTACTGAATTAAATATCCAGAAAGTGTACTGTGCCATCAAGAATCCTCTAACTTCTTTGGCTCTAGGGCTTTAAGATTGATTCAACTCTTTTTTTGTGTGTAAAAATAAAAAATCCTGAAATAATGAAATGTCAGTACTCAAGCCATAAAAAGCCAGAGACTGCTCAGTGAAGCTTACTTTATGCTTCACATAAATGATATAAAAGGTTACATTATTTGCTCTCAACACATTTATTGATGGTCTGCTATAAGCAAAGAACTGTATGTGACAGGTACTGTGGAGAATGAAATGATGAAGAGGACACAGACCCAGTTGTTATGATTCAGTGAGGGAGAGGGATGTACACAAATAATTAGAATAAGCAGCACCCAGAATTTGCATTGCAGTGGAAGAGCGATGGCATCGGAAATTGGAGTGGCCCCAGCTATAGCAATAACAGTGAACATAATTCAGATATTCTCTGTAACATAGTCCCCTAACATGTAAGATGCAGTGTTGTATGGGCTGGTCCAGTGGTCTCTAAATATTTTGGGTTGCATACATCCATTGATAAAATTTGTTATATCACACCTCCAATATCTACACTAATAAAAGAGAAACATGGTAATTGGCGTACGACCGCTACCCTTCCCATTGGCTAATCAGCATATCCTTATGCAAATTAACTGTCAGCCAAGATGGCGGCCAGCAGCCAGGCAGCTGGAAGCGAGCATGAGGCTTCCTTGCT